CAATCACGCAAAATAAATTTAGAGTCAAACAAACAAATACCATATTACAGTGTCTGATAATTATTTATTTGTTAGTACCTCCAATTGAAAATCACAGCTATAAATACTAAAAGCTCAAACTATTTCCAAATAACTCTTAAAATTTGTTTTACAATGATCGAAGTATGATTCTTATTATTGAAATGATTTATTATAAACCTACGTCTTAAATAAGCAATGCGGATTTATATCAAAACATAGACGCACATACCAAAAGTATAAACTACGAAAAATAATTACTCCAACAAAATGAAGCATTAAGGAAGTGACTTTGGCATTGAGCCCTACCGCAACAACCGAATACTCAGCGTCAGCAGACATAACAAACAATCAGCTGACAACATAACAGCGTCGCGCGGAGGTCAGCTGACGATGACGTCATCGCTTAGTTCTACAGGTGTTTCAGCGATACAGTAGTGTGGGTCTGGAGGTGTCCCCGTTCATAAGACCTTGGCCAGACCTTGGTTTAACTGGTTCATTCTCCAGCCAGCTTGTCAACCAATGGCAAGCTTTGCTACCGTTACATATTGTATACATATAAGTTTCGTGAGCGGTGTTTCCATATGTCTTTAAAACTACCAAATTAGGCCAGATTGTTAATTTGAAGTTTTAACTACGCTCTGTTATGAAATTGACAATTTTCTGTAGTTTTATTCCAAGGTATTTGGGTTTCCCACTAATGTAGGTTTTCAGAGTGTTTTGATTGGTTAATGCCTCGAGCCTCGGCGCTAAAGGGACGGATTCGGTTCCCGGTGAATCTACAAAGATTGGAGGGGCTTAGACACCTTTGTTTGATAGTGGTCGAGTTTCATGTGAGAAAACGGCTCTTAGACAATAAACAAGTGTACAATTGAACTGATTTACCATTAAAAACGTGCTAGTGGTCCATATAGATGGAATTTCTCTACTTTAATATCCAGAGATCTATAGTAATACCTTGAATATTGCATATAAGATTATATTTACCCGGCTGCATTGCATCCCTTTAAGCCAGACATTCTACAAATTGAATAACCAAAAATTGTCATCCTCATCAAATTTTAAGACAGAAAAAATGTAGTTTCACAAACATAAAAGACTATCTCATATTTATATGGCTGTCACGTAGGAATTACTTCATATCGTTCGGTCCCCGGATGCATGCAACACCGACAAACTCACAGCTGTGACAAAATGATGTGACTCAGAGATCTAAGGTTTTGTAGACGTGGTCTAAATATAAATAAAATTGGTTTACAGGTATGGGATGTTTAACTGAATATTTACTTTAGTTCCGAGTTTCATCGGTCTTATACTCATCCATACCTAGAAACATTTCCGGTGTATCGAGGATATATTTGTATATATATTATTTTTCTTATTTTGCGTGTTTAATCGTTAACTAACGGTTATTTGCGTATTTTACGCCCGTGTTGAAACCCCCAGCCTGCCCTTGGCCCCAAAGTCCTATTCTGCTTCAGTGATCTTGATTCCGATCGCATAACTTGTTCCAAGTAGTTTGTCGAACCGGTTATTAATGTAATTTCTTGACTACTGTTTTCACCTTTTACGTATAATAGTGACGGACCTAGTAGTAGAGCCTTAATAATTGGACGATAGGTATATTTCCTCTTCACTGAGCAAAAACTGTCCTTGTATGCGTTGCTGAGCTTAAATTATTTTCATTCCAAGGTTGGAAGAAATCAGCTGTACATATAAATTTTTAAACTGATTTTGACAAAGAGAATGGACTTTTCTAGTCTTCGTGATACTACCTTTGGCTATTACAACTAGATATTCCACAACCCCCCCCCCCCACCAGTTTTATAATCAAAATCGTCGTAGTCTGTGAGCCACCGACAGATTGTGCTGAACTTATTCATTTGTGTTCATCAATTAGAATATTGAGAATAATAAGAATAATTTACAACTCCTTAACACATCCATGCCGATCTTTAGAGATTTTCATTTGAAAATACATTTCATATTCAAAGTATATGACCTGTGTTTTTTTTAAAAACTGTTCTTCGTTGTTGCCATTACAAATATGCTTCTCGTCTGTTGAATCATTCACTTTTTGTCATTTGCATTTAACTATAGGTTTGCTGTTGCTCTCTAGTCAAATTGAATTTATATTAGTCTATTATTTATTTGTATTAGTTGTTTTAGTTGTTAGCTTGTGGGTTTGTTGTTGTTGTTTCAAATTTATTTATTTTTTTAGTATAGGTACCATTGGTTATTTTGTCGGTTGTTGTTTGGTTGGTAGGTTCGTTATTGTTATTGTTGTTGTTATTACATCATTATTCTATTGTTGAATTTATTGTAGTCTATAATGTTTTATTATTGTCAGGATTATTAACTGTGTATTCTAGTCTTTCACTTTAAGTATTAATTAAGCTCACACCGGTTTTTTTCCTATTTGCATCAATGACTGTTATTAAGCTAAGTTTCTTTTATTTACACATGAACTATCTAATCCTTTCAAACTGTTTTCTGCGGTGTTTGTTAAATATTACCGAATAAGCCATCCTGAGTTGTACTGATTTAATTTCTATGGATGTAAAGGTTCTAAAATGGAGACGTCCGTTAAAATAAATAAATAAAATAAATAAATATTTAAAACCCTTTACACCTAACTTTTTTATGTCATAACAAACAAAATAGTTGAATACTGTACATTGGAAAAGTGTTTGTTTATAGGCGTGAGTATAAAGGAAGCAATATAAATATGTAGTTAATAATACCTTTGCTTTGAAAGTGTTTTTGCTCACGCTTCTTTTCCAACGCGTCGCTTGCTAAACTTAAACTTGTCTCAAAATGTAACTTACTATATTCTGTAATATCTCGAAAGGTGATTTATATTCATATATCGCATGCTTTTAAAACATATTTAGGTGTGTTTTTTTATATTCTTATATGCTTATTTTCAATTACCAAAAGTAATTTGAACATTTGGAATCATATATCCGTGATTTCAAAAAAAATTTAAAACGTGTACTCCGTTGAAAAAAAAACTACATACAATTTTAGAACGGTTTGATAAAAATTTGAGATGTCTCAAATAAAAATATAGCCTATTTAAAGTAGTATATTATTCATTTTTCATCATGTAAATTTGTATTGTATATTTATAACCAGGGTACTCGTACAATATATGTACATCCGGGGCTATTTTTTACGTATTTCAATAACATTAATATAATAATAATTTTTACTTTTTTTGCTTTATACTTCTACCTTTTTTAAGAATATTGATATTTATATATAAATATGTGGTATATTCGTAGTTAAAGCCAAAACTTAATTGTTACTATTGCTTAACCAGTTTGCTAACTATAGAACTACCTACCTCAGGGAAGTTCTATAAGGGAGTTCACATGTTAGCTGATAAAATAGTGAAACGATTCAGTTAGACATCTAATAGTATTTATTTTTGGATTTAAAGTTTACTCGTTGAAAACTCTGCTTAGTATTTGTAAAATTTGCATGATCCTTATCTGGTTTAAGTTTAGAAGTAGGATATGACAAAATTACTTTTGGTGAAACATACAATATACGCTAGTGAGTCTGTCCTACAAGGTAAATAGGGGAACCGGAGTTTTGCCAACGGGTGTCAGGTAGATGGGGGGATGCCTTCGGCCACCTCTTGGTGCGGAGATTTGCCAACGGTGGTGGTGGGAGAAAGAGTGTGACGGAGGGAAGGAGAGCGATTGTCAGGGTTGTCTACGTCTTACGTATACGCCTGGCAGTTAGTTATGCGCTTGTCGCATTGGGTTAGGTTAGGTTAGGTTAGGTTAGATTAGGTTAGCTTAGATTAGGTTAGGTTAAAATTTCAATACATTTCCTTTCACAGTCAGAGGTGCATAACTCCATTACTTTGAACACAGTCAGCATCTTGCCTGGTTTGTCCACCCCTAGCGGAAGCCACCCTCACGGCAATGAATACACACACGGTCACGTGTAATCTCTCTCTCTCCCCCTCCCCCTCTCGCGCAACCCACAACCGTTGGCAAAACTCCGCAGTATGTGGAATTCATGGATGGGGACCCTTTCTACCTGATACTAGTTGGCAAAACTCCTACACTCGGTAAATAGTGATAACATATTTTAATTATATTTTACTCGAATTCACCAAATTCTTGTGATAGCCATCAATCGATTTACCCTTATTTATTTATTTATTTATTTATTTATTTATACATGCCAACGGCTAAGCCAATACATAGATGTAAACAAAAACTGAACAATATTCAATACTCAATAGAATACTAAATACATAGATGAAAAAAACAAAAACAAGCTGAACAATACAATACTCAATAGAATACAATAATAAATAATCTGACAATGAATAAGTTAACAAAGACTAAAGATATAACAATAATAAATATAACAAAGAGCAAATACAACAATAGAATTTTTTAACAAGAATATATATAACAATAGAGGCGTTGAGGCTAGTCCAACATCTCCTTATTAAAGATTTGTCGCATTTTATGGTACACATCAACACATTCATTAATTCTGCCGTTTAATGTTAGATTAGAGGAGGCATCCTATCAATATGGACCAAATAAAATATTTTTACAGAAATAGAACATCTATAAATGAACCACCCAAAAAGAGTAAGCTACTGTAAAAAGTACATTTTCCTTCTTAATTTTTAATACAGTACAAAGATAGGTAGTGTTTTTTTTACAATAGATACTATTGTTAACAATAATTTTACCTTTAAGTTTGACTTGATTAAAAACATAAGTGTTTACAACAGAATCAGTAAATAAAATTCTCTGTGTGTGGTTGTTTACATCCTTAATTTTTCTTTTTTGAAACTGGTTTCAACTTCATGGGAAGGATATTCCTATTCCCATAATCAAAGGTTCTATCTTAAACCATCAAGTAGCCTAATAAATAAAATAACTTAATTGAAACAAATTCCAGCCAGCTGAGCTAAGTATTACATAAATAATGGCGGAACTCACCGTGAGTAGGAATGTATCACAGTTCACTAAGCACTTTCACTTGGTCCGAGTCCGTCACTACCCGACCTTCCCTTTCGCTTGTCGCCAGTGTACTGAGCAGCTGGTAACTCGCTCACTACTCAGCTCATTGTTGTCTCTCCCCCCCCCACCACCCACAACACTCCCACCATTGTTGCCGACCATTGTTGCGACTTGCGCCAGCCTTGCGTTCTGCCGACTGCGCGCTGATTAGGTCCTACAATTCACAAATTAACTGGAAATTGATTGTGTTTTTCTTTTAGTTTGATCGATCAATCAAAAGCTGCTTTTGATTTAGTAGCCTATCTTTGAATTTTACATTTTTTAAATGTATATAGATTAACGAGCATATGCAGTTTGTTTCGTAAGCATATACAACTGTAATAAATGGTTAATTTATAAATAGAAAGAAAAAAACTACTATATTTTATTTTAGCGAATTTCCCTATAGGGAAGTAGCTATTACCGTAGGTGGCACGGTAAGACCTAGACCCGGGACCGATTTACTTTTTCATTTTGATGTCCCCAGAGGCCAAAAACACTATTCGTTCAAATTTTTATATATGTATATATATATATATATATATAGACTTATATATATATATATATATACGTCCGTGAACGCGATAACTTGAGTAGTTTTTGTCCGATTTTGATGAAATTTGGTTTAAAGGTGTAAAGCGGGATAAACTTGAATGAGTTCGCGAACCAGCACGATCGGACCATGGGAACGGGGCTTTACGGGGGGTTTTATGGGGTAAAAATTGGTTTTTCTCACTTTTGACCCTCAAAACACAAAATTTCCCAATTTCTCTTTAGACCTTTTTAAAGAGCTTAAAAAAACAAATAATTTAGTATATAAAAGTATTTTTGTTCGATTATTAGTAACGGAGAAAATTAAAAAAAATTGTAAATTTAAAATTCCCATGTTATTCTTATGGAGAATATTGTCAAATGTTGTAGTTTGCTTGTTTATGAATATATTTTGATCAAACTTGGCAAATTTATTTATTTTGTACTAAGCTATCAATATTTTACTCAAAAACACACTTTATTAGTTTCCTTGTAGCAGCAAACCTAGGTACTCGTTAAACCTAATGTTATTAAAATATATTTAACTGAAAATCAATTCAGACAAATGGAAATTCGCTTAGTCGGCAGGTTTGCTGCGGCGGGGGTATTTTACTTATATAGTGGAACCTCAACAACAATACCTTCTATAGCAAGTTACCATCAATAGAAAGTGTAATTTATAATTACTCTTGATTTTATATCAACCCCCACTGATCACATACTATTGCAAACCTCGATAGGAAGTCAACACTAATAACAAGTCTTATTTGTAATAATCTTATGAGAGACTGGTTATTGAGGTTTTACTCTATATGGGTTTAGAAGTATACATGATTTGTGATACCTATAACATCAGTGGTAATAACAGGTATATAATAATCACAAATATAGACACACGTATTATTGAAATTGTCTGAAATGTTTATCAATATATTATACTGCATATACCCGGAAGAGAGGAAATATTATTTTAAAGGTCAAAAGCCTAACTCATTTGAATAATTCAGCAATCGTGAATCATTGCTTAAATTTGATGTACAATAATTATTATATTGTTCTAAATAAAAAGAAACCCCTAACAAATTGAACATCTTGAATGTTTCTGCCATTTTTAAGGGTTAAGAACCAAGGATACAGGAAGCAAAATTAATAATACTAAATGTTTTATTTCGATTCAAACTACTACAAAGCGGCCAAACCCTCTAAAATCAGGAAAGAAAAATGTATCATGTCAAGTTAAAGCCTAAATGATATTTAAAATACAAAAACCCAAAATGACAGACAATTCTAACAGTACATCTACGTCAAGGAAAAGTATAAAGTCAAACAAGAACATAGCAAATTTGATCCTTACATAATTATCCAATTCCTTTCCAAGCTACTGTGGCAGTACTCATATTATGGCCATAATTGATTGTGGAATGTGTCACACTATCATCTCACTTGCCACAAACAACTTTCCAAAATATGTTTGTACACTAATTGCTGGAGATCACGACATAGATTATGAGCTCAATAACAGAGGATCTTAACGACTGTGAAGCCTTTCAATGCTTAGGGCGAACAATTAGTTATTGCTGCTTTGTGTAACATACTCCTTGCCTCCCCAACTGCTCAATACAGTTAAATTTCGTTGCATTTTCTTTTAAAATTGATCGATTTATTAAACTAGGATTACTTTCATAGCAGTGAAAGCAAGTTGAACGGAGCGATCACGTTTTATGGTTTTTAATAAAGCAAAAAATAAATAAAATTGTTATATAATCCAAAATACAACTATTTCACAAATTTAGCTTATCAGTTTCTCTCAGAACTATCAACATCTATAGCAAGTTTTATAAGTAAAGATGTGGACTTTACATACATATCCTTTGTATCGCTATTATTCCTGAGGTTTGCTTGCTGTCATGTGGTGAATCCACAGTTCTGGTTGAACCCAACCTTGAACCTAAACCAATCGAAATTTTCTCAATCTTGGTCAGAATTTGCAATTCAGGCAGAAATAATCCTGCATGGATCTTTTTAAGACTTGCCTGCTTTGAGAGAATTGCACAAGCAGTTGTCACCATACCTTATGAGGTTTGTTATCTTAAATGTTGTACATTTAACATTATTATGAAAAGCATTGTTTTCGAATTTGGATTGTTCAAAGACAATTTCGGGCATCGAATAATGAACTACAGTAATTTTGAAATTATTAGAAGAACATTTTTTTGAGAATATAAGGCTAACACGTATTTTAGAACAGAAAACTATACTAATACATAATATGCTAAATAATAACGGCAAAGACAGTAGCATTTAAGTAATGTTAAATAATGTTTACTTTTGGGCCAGTAATATAATTTGTTTATTATTATTATAACCTTATTACCAAGGCTGCGTTGTTGACCAGTATAGCTGGATAAACGTCGTATTCTTTTTAAATATAAATAATAATTATTTACAACAACAAAATAAGACTTGTATTTTTCGAGGGATTAAATTTAAAAGGTTTCAAAATAAAAACTTGGCTGGTGACTACGGAGGTGATGTGCACTCTACCATTTGTCATCAAAATACACTTTCACGTAGTAGAAGGCTCTTTGAATTAGCCTATCTCGTACAACCCTGGCAAACGTTTTTCCCGAAGACTGCTGATCTCTGGGGGGAGCTTCTTTTTGAATATTATTTTATGATTGAACTATGTTTATGATCCATACCGCTTTCTGTTCTAGTATTATCAATACATGCAGGCGTCGTTTTAAATTGTCATCACCTGATCTATAACAAGGGAGCGGTCTATGATCAATGTAATACAGTTCTTTAGTTATCATTTTTATTTATAGGAGTGATGTCTCTAAATTAGGGATATCTTTCCATGAAAACTTAATTACTCTTTTCAATAAATAAAATGCTTTTAGGAAAAAAAGTAAGATAAGTTTTATTGCTAACTTATTGTTGACATCAATATTTTCATGAGAAACAGATTGTAAGCATTATTGAAGATATTAGCTACAACATGAAACATAACAATTAAGTTCTATATTTTACATTTTTATTGGTGAAATGTCATACAAGGCTTCATATTACAGGTTTGAACACCATTACTCCAGACTTTAGTCACTAGTTACTCATAACTGCTATCAGTAGGCATATAAAGTAAGACCGGAAGTTACTTCATTCAAGATTTACTGCAATCAGTGAGTATGTGTGATTTCATTCAACACATAACAGAATAATTCATTAAGAATGAGTACATGATTCTGGAAAACTTGAGCACAATCTAGATAAAATGTCTCACTCATATTGCTATTACCATTATGAAATATGACCAAAAGAATTGTACTGGAGAATAACGGTAGAAAAAATGCTAGTTTCTTTGTAAAACATACAGTAAAAGATAAACATTTTTTAATAATTTGCAAGCTAGTAAACCGGTAAAGTTTTAAACTATAAATTGTGTTTATTCAAACAAATCTGACGGAATTTAGCATCTTGGTGGGTAATTTATATTTCTAGAAAGCCTCCGCATCCTATATCTATTATTGTTTGCAGGTTACAATAACAATAATTCCAAACTCTTAGCCCCAGTACCTCATCGGAATGTTTGTCTCAGAATCTTCCAATAGCTTTACTTATCAGCGTGATCTCAAGACAAATATGTACAATGATATGGGATATTTCCCTCACTTCAAGGCCTATGTGTCACTTCCTATGTTTACATTTGTAAGGAAATCCCCACGTTAATCAGCAGTTCTATTACACTCAATGACACTAGTTTCATAACTCCTAGACACAGTAATCCCTTGTTCACTTCCTGTATTTCCTGTTGCCTCCACCCCGTCCCTGTCACCCTGACTCTTGACGAATCATTGTTGAGGACTCGACCTTAAACTCTAGCCTCAGTTGTGTTTATCGTGTAGGCGGCCCCGTACCCCAGGGCAGCAAACCTACACACTCAGATCAAGTTGTGTACATGAATTGAGATCAGTTACATTCTCACAACAAATGTCATCTGGACCCTCTGAAGAAATTCACTGTTTCATTCAATAAAATATGGTTGAACCTCACAGAATATACCACAGCAAATATCTTTTAGTTTTAGCGAATTTCCCATATAGAGAATAAGCTACTACCGTACTCATGGTAAGACCTGGACCCGGGACCGTTTTACTTTTTCGTTTTGAGGTACCTAGAGGCCAAAAAATACCATCCGTTCAAATTCATATATATGGCATCTTCACTTCACTAACCGAATGTCAATATATACAGGGTGTCCCACGGAAGGTGACTCAGATTGATTACGGAAGAACGGCTTAACGTATAAGGACGAAATAAAATTATTTCCCACTAAATCAACCTTAAGGAACAACATAAAACTATTTTCAAATTTTTCCGATGCAGGGGGGATTTACGTACATATATGATTATACTTTAGTATAGAAATGTAATTACTGATCCTGCGAGCAGAAAGGGTCACCACACAAATTATGCAGTTAAATATCGTATTTTTAG